GGGTTACCACCAACAAGTAATGTCCCTAATGCATATAAAAATGATATATGCAATATTTAAACTAGTAAACTACGCACACAACAATCAATCACTCAAACATACATAAACAAATAAAGTAAGAACCCATACTAACCTGTTATGGGACCTTTTGCGGGTCCTGAAGGTTTGGTAGGTTCTACATCTAAGGCATAAACATTTGCTGGAGTGGCTTGCTTCTTTACCGGTGGTCCCTTAGCTTTCTGAACTGGCGGTGGGTATGCTGCCTTATTTGCCTATTCGGGCATGCGTTAGCATAATACCCTAGGTCTCCACAAATGAAACAAGCTCCGACTCAGTTACCCTTTAGTCCCCCTTGCTTATTCGGGCATGCATTCGACACATGTCCCGACTCCCCATAAGTATAACAAGTAACAAATGCCAGATTTGGCACTTTAGTCTGTACGACCGTTGAACAATCTCGTGCAAAATGTCCCGACTTTCCGCACATATAACAGGCTCTTGGATTGTAAGTGGTCATTACCCATCCTCCTTGGTTACGAACCTTAGGCTTTACAGGGTCATTATTCTGGTTTCGTCCTCCCGGCGGATTAATCCTCAAAACACCAGGCTGAAATTCTCGATTATTTTCCTTCTTGCCTTCGGACTTTTCGTTCTCCCGTAACTTCTCTCCCTTTTCTAACTCAATCCCTTCTTCAACATTCACGGCCATTTCCGTCAATTCACTCACATTGGTATAAGTAACAGCCTGAAGGCGTCCCCAAAGTTTAGGCCTTAAACCTCTTAGGAACCTTACCATCATAGCTTCAGCATCCTTTCCGTTGTACAAATATCTCCCAAGTCTTGTAAAAATTTGCTCGTATGCCAAGACACTCTTTTGCCCTTGCTCCAAACTCATAAACTGCAGCTCCAGACAATCACGTGCCTCCGGTGGAAAATACTTAGACTCAAACTCCTTCTTAAACATTTCCCATGTGTTAGGCTGGTCGCGATATCGTGAAACAACGCTATCCCACCAAGCTCGACCATCCTCATCTAAAACGTTTACCGCTATCTGGCCCTTAAAGTCTTCCACGCACCTTGTAGTTTCAAAATTCATTTCCAGGTTCCTCAACCACTTATATGCTAAGACAGTATTCTGCTCTCCTTTAATCTTCCGAACACCTAGATCCTTCATCATCATAACCAACTTTAAGAACTTAGCCGAAGGAGATTCGGCACGCTGGCTTTCGTGCATCTGTTGTTGGTGTTGCTGTTGTTGAATCATGTGAGTCAACAAGGTCTGAATCATCCCCAACGTATGTTGAGTCTCCGGCACATTTTGAACATTACGGCCTTCCCCATTTCCTTTATTAACTTTCCTTGGTAGTGACGGATTTGGGTGTGCGGTAGGTTGTTTCACAGGAACATGTGGTCTCGTCCCGGAGTGTGACCCTTCGGATGTGCTATAGTGCACAGTCTTTGGTAAGGAGTATTCTGGTGTGGTTCCGGGAATATTGATGACTTCTCCAAACATATTGGGATAATTGTATCCCTCATCTCCTTCTCCTCCAACATACGGTACCAGTCTCCCAGACCGAAATGATGACTCCAGTTTTCATAAACTGGTGAGAAATTTATCGTCTCACTCCTCTCTGTTCTTTGACCAGACATCTGCATCCTTTCAACCAAGGTAAACTTAATTCATCTACCTAATAATGGTGAACAGACCGGATTATCCTAAATGCCTTTTGCGACTCATTTACTCGGTAAAACATTTTGAAAAAATACGAGTCCTGCTAGCATCATTAACCATGCTCTGATACCACAAATTGTAACGCTCCCGAGATGCTCTATGACCAGACTAGTCACTGGCGCCCCGAAAACGCCACATTCAGAATGATCATCAACATCCAACCGCGGTTCGGGAACCAATCCCAACCCTTGGCCAGCGTATTGACGACCACTCTCCCACTTAAAACATCGTTTACGCTTGCCAACCCTTACGATATTTAATGTTTGTGCCGACTCGGACTAAGTCATGCTCAGTTATTACTCGTAAATTTGTACAAGAAACCCGATTTATTTCATAAGTATAAATATTACACAACATGTTACCAAATATTTATAAGTTTTATGCCCAAGGCTTAGTGTCAAAAGCATGGTACATAATAGAAACATACTTGTTTTACAAAAGGCACAAAACTACTCCGGGTTTCCTATTGTCCACCACGCCCTCTATTTCCTACTAAGGGTTTCCTGCAAAACAAGTAGAATCATGAGTAATCTAAGATTACTCAGTGAGCTCGCGATTCCCTTCAATAGACATTAGTTTACCCCAACCCAAATACCCAACATGAAACACGCAACAGAGAATGGCAACGAAAGGTAGCTTGTCGAAGCAACTACAAAACATGCAAATGCATTAAGACTCTAGTTTTATTAAGTTTTAAAGGGCCCGATATGCTGCCTTCAAACCCAACACCAAACACACACACTCCAAAGGTATGCAACCGAGCATCACAACAAAATGCTACACCGTCTTGTAGACACTCGGCCAGGGTAGCTAGCCCCGTGTCTCCGAGTTTTTCGCACTTCATGGCGATCAAGTGACATCGTTACAAGACCCCACGATAGCACAGTTCACTAAGAAGGTCAGACATATCACAATCTTGGCACGCTTATGGTCTTTGCCTCCTACCACAAGCACCACGTACCAAGACCCCAAAGTTTAAGATATTATGAAACATATTGTTAAATCACTCATAGAATCATCAATACCTCAACACAACCTCTCAACCATAAACAATAGCAGAAGAATCTAAAGATCACATATGCAATCCAATGTAACCATTCACATGATTCATATAACTCACAAAATCAATCAAGGATGCATGAGAATATGATTATGAAACTTAAACCATTATCCAGAACTCACTCAGTAATCAATGGAATGCGTGTAACGATTCGGGCAGAGTTTTCGGCTTTGGGACCTTAACTTTGCTTAGGCCCCAAGTCAGCCGAGCCACGCGTCCTAGGCGCGGTCAACGGTCGGTCAACGCATGGCGGGGCAAACTTCGCCTGCGGCACGGCCGTTTTTGCCCAAACTTGCCCACTGGTGCCCAAACTTGCCCGTTCATGCCCAAACTTGCCCATCTTTTCCCCTTGATAGTCTATTGTGTTTTGGGCAATTAAGGTTAATTGTCCATGCATTCGGGCAAATTTCCGAAATTTGGACTCTCGCCCGTGGCCAAGTCCTTAAAGATCAAAAGCAAAAGTAAATTTTAAACAAATACTTTAAAGATTAAAAGCAAAAGTAAATTTTAAATCCTTAAGAAGTGTATATACCTAGTGGGTTCCCTCTTATTCAGCGCACTTGTTTAACGTCGTGGCTTGACGTTTGGGAACCCATTGGGTTCAATAGGGAGGAGCTTCAAGGATTGCTTCTCCTTTGGCGTCCTTGATATCTTGATATCCCGCCGCGCTTTTATGTTAAGTTTTCTTCTAGATGGAGTTTTAGAAACCTTACCTTGTAGGAAAACTTATTTAGTTTGCTTTATCATATCTTGGATATGTTCTTTGCCTTCCCTTCTATGCTCCAGAGGAATGAAGATTTTCATCTTTGAGATGTTAGGCCGTTTAGGCGGTTTGGACTTCAGATTTTGGGCCCTCTGTCGAGCTTCACGGTTGCCATTCTCCACCTTGTTGGTATCAGGACCAACAAGATTGTCAGGCAGAGGAATTACCGGGTATGAGATCGCCTTTGAGATTGTTGGATAGACGATTTTTTGTTGACCTTGGTGAATATGGTTTTCTTGCGGTTGTGATCAATCAGGCACCTATAGTTGCGAGAAAAGTTCGTCGCAAGAATAATGGCTTGTCGATCTCCTTGTCTATATCTAACACGTAAAAGTCTATCGCGACTATGCAATCCCCTACGACTAGCAGAAGGTCGTGGAGTAATCCGTTGGGAGTCTTTTGGGACGAATCTCCGAAGACTAGATTAAGGTTGGATGTAGATAAATCTCGCAGTCCGATCTTCTCTGCCACACTTGCCTAGGGTCTTTGCCTTTAGGAAGCTTCCGTAATGGGTAGCATTCGGGCTTCCCCTTTACAACGTTCTTTGGATCGCAGACCACGTTCTTGTGGGGATCGGTAGGTGTTACTAAGGACTCGGCTTTGCCGGCTACAATGTTGCAATATCCTTTAGGATTTTCCTCAGTCCTTCCTGGAAGTGTGCCGGGCTGCCTTTTGACCGACTCAGAGTTTTGCACTATTTGAGTCTCGAGCTTCTTCATATGCGTGGTAAGACTTTCAAACTTTCCATTTAACTCACCGTACTTATTCTCCATCCGTGTTTCCATAGCTTTATTGGCCTTGCGATTCTCATTTGCCATGTCTTGTATCATCATCTCAAGCTTATTGTCGTTGGATGGTGCGAGTTCGGCCGGTCCAGTTTTGAAGGGTGCCGTATTGTTGTTGTTGAAGGGGGCTCTTGGCTGGAAGTTGTTGGTGTTGTAGTTTGCGTTTGGAAATCGACATTGGAAAGGCTTCACCGGCGGATAGTATTAATCATGAGGGTTCTCAACATTCGAATTCCTATAAGAGAGATTAGAGTTACCTTTAAAGTTGTTGTTGAAGTTATTGTTGTAACTGCGGTTCTGCTAGAATCCTTGGGTTTCAACATCGTTAACTTCTTCTTCTTGATCGGATGTGTCATTGTACCCTTGGAAGGCTTCCGTGTTGCCGATCGTCTCGCATGCGTTCACAGCTCGGTTTTGATTCTTTAGAAGTTGGGCCATCATGTTCTTTAGCTCAGACATCTCCTTTGAGTCGGAGTCCTTAGAACGGACGGTCCTATCAAAATCCGTGGAAGCATTACTGTTGCTGGTTGCCAAATTTTGAATGAGGGCACGTGCATCGTCGACGTTCTTAGTTGTGAAGTCTTGCTCGCCGTATCGAGTGACAGTTGGAATTTGGCATGCAGTCCTTTATAGAATATGCTTATGAGCTTACCTTCGGGGAAACCATGATGAGGATAATCACATTCGTAGTCCTTAAATTTTTCCCATGCTTCATAGAAGGATTCGACCAGTCCTTGTTGGAATCCTTCCAGCTTGTTCCTCAAAGAGTTGGATCTTGACTTCGTGTAGAAGTGATTTAGGAAGGCTGAGCTTCCGGATGCTCTCGGTCTTGTGGAGCGAGTTGTTCTTCAGCTGCCTCATATATGGGTTTGCCATCTTCATCGTGTAGGGGTTGTCCGTGCTTATGTAAAGCCGAGACTTATTGTGGCTGATACGCATGGGAGACCTTTGTCTCGATTCCTTTGTTCGGCCATAGCTTGTTGACTTTGAACTCTTTGGATTTTGCGTGTAGTAGAAATAAGAAAGCAATAAAAAAGACTGTAAAAAAAAGCAATAAAAGTAAATAACAATTAAGAGAGTGGTGTAAAACAAGTAAACGAAAGCGTAAGGTCATCGGGGGTTTTCTCCGGGCATTATGGTTCAAACAAAAAGTATAGATCCCAGTTTAGGTGATAACATGGTTAGGTTTGTTTACTTCAAAATTCTCGGACATACAAAACTTATTCAGGTTTGGCTAACCCTGGGCTATAGGTGGAAGCCGGCTAATCTCTCTAAGCTACACAGTCAACCCTAGAATATAGGTGCCAATACGGTAACAAGAATAGGTCAAAGCATTAAGTTCAAGTTTGATTTTAGTTCAGAAGTCCCTATCACTTGGCGGTCAGCAACGGTTATAGTTATACAAGCAATTATACAAGATTTCACCTCATTATAAAATACCTAAGAACATGTACTAGGTGACGTTCCGGACATACAACTAGAAAGAACAGTGTAAACGATCAAACAAAACCATAGAAACCGCCAACCTAAACTTGATCTAAAGTCCCCATGAGTGCCTTTTGAAATGCTCCTAAAACCTAACTACAGATCTACTCACAGATACTCAAAAAACACAACATCATATAAATAAGAAATTCCATAAAAAGAGTATGAGTATAGAAAAGGGTTTAGAGATCGTCTCCGGAAATTCATAGCTTGATAAATCTTCTTTCTTTTACAAGTAGAGAAGAGAGAAGAGAAAATGAATGAAGAACAAGAGGAGAACGGCTTGGAGGCGAGAGAGTCGCAGGAGGCAGCCTAATTTCGTGGGTTGTGATTAGGGTTTCCCCTAATCTTAATATTTAGAGGGCTTCATTACATCAAAGGGTAGAAACGTCTTTCCGTTGATTAGTAAGTGATGGGCCAAGTTTCTGGGCTTCTTAGGGAGGCTTGAGGTCGGCGGCCAGAGGAAAGGAAGGAGTGGTTGTGCGCCCTAGTGGTCGGTGGAAAACTTGAGGGGCCGCCTGTAACGCCCCTGGTCCGCACTAGAACTCGGCCAATCCGGCACGACTCGGAGACGCCACAATGGAAATGAATTCCCATAGAGTAGCCGAGGTTCAGAAACACATACTGATCTTTAGCCCACTCAAGGTTACTCATTTCCCCATTTGATATCCGCTTAGGCTTGCCAACCCTCACTTCACCCAAATGTTGTGTCGATTCGGACAAAGTCTTATCAGTTTGAAACCCGTATAATTTAAAATAAATACCGATTTCAATATCATAGAGTTACGAAAATACAAGGAAAAATCACAACATAAACATCGTTTTTATGGCCAAGGCATGAGGCCCAAAAGTACACGATACGAAAATACATACTTTAAAAGTTTTACAAAAGGACACTGAAAAACTACTGCGGGTTCCCTAGTGTTCACCACTCCCTCTAATCCCCTCTAAGGTTATCTGCAAAACAAGTAGAGTCATGAGTAATCTAGCATTACTCAATGAGCTCGGGTTCCCCAATGAAACATTAGTCTAATCCCCACCCATAATCCCACATGCATAACATAAATAATCAGAGTACACAGAGAAGGTAGCAAGCAACACACAACACAACAAGAAAATAACGTTTCTTAAAGTTTTAATTAGGGCCCGAATGCACTGCCTTCCTCAACACATCGTGAACACCCGAGTTATAACCACAAAGGCATATAACCGGAACAACACCTTGCCTACACCGTCGTGTAAGCGACACCGGCCCTTGAGTAGCTAACCCAGTCTCTCCGGGTCTTTAAAACCCTTGAGGTCACTTGCATCTCGTCAAGCACACCCCACGAAAGAACGGAATCACAAGGCAAGGTCAGATACATCCCACTTAACCGTAGCATGCTTATGGAGTTAACTTGGATACTCTCCAAGCTCCACACACTACGATCTTCCAATCAACACTATGAAACATGCGGTTCGTTTTCAACACACATGTTCATAAAGTTCTCTCTAAAACTCTCTCGAATACTAGCGAGTAGTGTCTTGATAATGCAACCATCCCTCTTAAGCGAATGGTGCTATTCTAACACAACCACTCCTATAGGGCAAGGTGCTTCGGTCTCAACTATTCTGTCGATTCTAAATCTAACACATACACGTTAGCAACCGTCGCTTGACGTTTCGTCGGGGGTCCTCTTTCTCCTGATGGTGGCGGGGGTCGTGAGTTGTGCTGAGTGTCGGGTCCTGTGGGTTTACTTGGACACGCGTGAGAGTAGTGGGCTTGGCTTCCACACCAATAACAATGGCCCTTTGGATTCACTTGGCCTGTCTTCTTACTCGGACAAACATTGGAACGATGCCCTTCTTCACTGCAGGAATAACATGCGACATACGCTGCCGTTGGTTGGGTAACCACTGGGCAAACTCACGCGAAATGGCCCAACTTTCCACATGTGTAACATCCCCTTGGATCAAAATCGTTTCTTCCCCTATCGTTGTTATAGCTAGCCTTTGTTCTTCCTCGATCATAGTCTCTCTCCTAATTCGGTGTGAATTTAGGAGCGTTGTTTTTGGTCTCCGCGTTATTAGTCTTCCTCCCTCCCGATCGATCGCTTTCCTTTTTGGTTACACTCTTCTCCAACTCAATACCCTCCTCTACATTAACTGCTCGTTCGGTTAACTCGTTGACACTACCATATGTGACTGCTTGTAGTCGGCCCCATATCTCTGGCCTGAGTCCTCTTAAAAATCTACGCACCATCAATGCTTCATCGTCTTGTCTGTTGTATAAGTACCTCCTTCGTCTCGTGAAAGCTTGCTTGTATGATCGGACACTCCTTGCCTCTTGTGCTAAGTTCATGAATTGCTGCTCCAATCGATCACGGGCCTCTGGTGGAAAGTACTTCTTTTCGAATTCTCTTCTAAAAGCTTCCCATGATATCATTTGGTCTTGGTTCGTGGCAGTGACGCTCTCCCACCAGATTTGTGCATCCTCGTCCAAGAAGTTAACTACGATCTGTCTCTTGAAGTTGTCAAGACATCGAGAAATCTCAAAATTACTCTCAAGGTCTCGTAGCCATTTATCTGTCACGACCGTGTTTTGTTCTCCTTTAAACACGCGAATTCCTAAGTCTCTCATCATCATTACGAGCTTCAAGAACTTTGAGGATGGTGATTCCTCTCGCTGGCTTTCTTGAATTTGTTGTTGATGTTGTTGTGTTTGAATCATATGACCCAATAGACTCTGAATAATGCCTAAGGTCTGTCGCGTTTCAGGGGCTCCTTGATTCTCGGTTCCAGGGATAGGGTTTCCATGATTTTGCTTAATCGATGGGGATTGTACGAGGTTATGCGATCAAGACCGCAAGTAACTCTCATTTGATGTTTCGAAGAACATCGATCCGGGCGGCGAGTGTCTGGGCGTGGAATCAGGGGTTTCCCATTCAGGTAATCCATACGGCTCCAAGTGAATATAATCTCCGTTTATCTCACCACTCTCACTCGGTATCCAATTATCCGACTCCGGATACTACGCAAAGTTTCCACGACTAGACATCACATCTCTCTACTGGTTCTCGTCCGACCCCTGCCTTGATATCTGCATCCAATCCAACAACGATCTTAGGTTTCTAATATTTACCCCCTCTATCCTAATAGTGGTGAACGACCCGGATTATCCTAAGTGCCTTTTGCGACTATTTACTCGATAAAACATTTGAAAAACCGGATCCCAAAAGCATCAAAACCATGCTCGGATACCACTCTTTGTAACGCCCCCGGTCCGCACTAAAACTCGGCCAGTCCGGCACTGCTCGGAGACGCCACAATGGAAATGAATTTCCATAGAGTAGCCGAGGTTCAGAAACACATTCCAATCCTTAGCCCACTCAAGGTTACTCATTTCCCCATTTGAGATCCACTTAAGCTTGCCAACCCTCACTTCACCCAAATGTTGTGTCTACTCAAATAAAGTCTTATCAGTTTGAAACCCGTATAATTTAAAATAAATACCGATTTCAATATCATAGAGTTACGAAAATACAAGGAAAAATCACAACATAAACATTGTTTTTATGGCCAAGGCATGAGGCCCAAAAGTACATGATACGAAAATACATACTTTAAGTTTTACAAAAGGACATTGAAAAACTACTGCGGGTTCCCTAGTGTTCACCACTCCCTCTAATCCCCTCTAAGGTTACCTGCAAAACAAGTAGAGTCATGAGTAATCTAGCATTACTCAATGAGCTCGAGTTCCCCAAGGAAACATTAGTCTAATCCCCACTCATAATCCCACATGCATAACATAAATAATCAGAGTACACAGAGAAGGTAGCAAGCAACACACAACACAACAAGAAGATAACGTTTCTTAAAGTTTTAACTAGGACCCGAATGCACTGCCTTCCTCAGCATATTGTGAACACCCGAGTTATAACCACAAAGGCATATAACCGGAACATCACCTTGCCTACACCGTCGTGTAAGCGACACCGGCCCTTGGGTAGCTAACCTAGTCTCTCCGGGTCCTTCGAACCCCTTGAGGTCACTTGCATCTCGTCAAACACACCCCACGAAAGAACGGAATCACAAGGCAAGGTAAGATACATCCCACTTAACCGTAGCATGCTTATGGAGTTAACTTGGATACTCTCCAAGCTCCATACACTACGATTTCCCAATCAAGACTATGAAACATGCGGTTTGTTTTCAACACACATGTTCATAAAGTTCTCTCTAAAAGTCTCCCGAATACTAGCGAGTAGTGTCTTGACAACGCAACCATCCCTCTCAAGCGAATGG